TAAACATTTCACTATCTATCTCTAAGAGATTACTGGCCTTTAAAACAAAACACCATTGTCACAGGTAGAAGCATACAGCAGTTTTCTTATATTGCCAAGTATGCAATCAGCGTTCAAATGTTCTCAAAAGATCTTCTTTCTTTTACTGTTTGTTTATTCCAGAATTCAAAAATTGTGCACACCTTGTGATTGGTTGCTACACCTTTTTAATAGGTGCCTTTTGTTCTTTCTTACTACCGCAATTTAGTTTTTGAAGAAATAGGTCATTTGGCCTATCACATTCCCCAGAGTCTGGAATTTTGCTGGCCAGCAATTTTAAATTAAAGCTTTTATGATCAATAAATCACATTGCCTGTCCCTATGAGCACTCATTGGCTCCAAGCCCAAAATCATACACAGTAAGATTGGTGCTACTCTCTTCAGATGCAAGAAACAAAGACACTCTCAGTCCACCTCTAGTGGGAAGTTTTATTGTAAGGAGACACATGAGATGAGACTAAAGAATATAGAAATCTAGAGTGTTAACTTCCATGGATTTCAGGAAAATGCAGTCCTCTCCATAAAAGCAATAGGAACTTAGAACAACTGGCATCTGGAAAACTAGCCCAGCTTAGAGTCCTGCTGGATGCAGACACATCCTAGCAGCAAGGTCACTAGGGCTGCTCTCCTCCAAGGAGAGACCTGCAAATGCCTTCCTTCTGGAGTGCTGCATTTCTGCTCACACCTGCTAGCCTGCGTCTGTTCTGCCTGTGTCCTAAGTTCAGGGACCTGAGGGGGTTCTAATTGGTCTAATGAGTCATTATTTCCCTCAGAGAAGGGCTTTTATGCCAGACTACTTCCTACCATCCGTACTTCAAGCCATTCATCATTCCCACTTAGATGTTAGTGCCCTTAATTTGAGGACTTAACACTGGCCTCCTCATTTGTGACCAGGGTGATGGGGTCAGAATGTGGCCACTTCAGTGAGACTATTTATGGCACTTTTGCTCACCAGAGTAAAAGGCCCAAGTTAAAGCATTTGTTCCCAAAGATAAATCGAGGAGATTTAAAATACACCACCACGACCATCGTGCATACACCACATTATAATTAATCCATGACCTGGACTTCAGAAGATGAGAGTTTATTGAATCACAGTAAGGCTGGTTGAACTATTTCCTATAGAACCTTCACTTGTATTTGTATTTTCCTGTTAAACTGTAAAGTTTTCGAATAAACCAGAGATGGTTTGGATTTGTTCTTCTGATAGGAAAAAGAGAGAGATAGAGAGGCAGAGAGGCAGAGACAGAGACACAGAGAGACAGACAGAGACAGAGACAGAGATGGACAGACAGCAGGACTCCGGCCATGGCTCCTTGTCAGCCAAGGAAGGCAACCCAGGACTCCAGGCAGTGAAGTCGGCTATTTCACAGTCCTGCCACATCTTAACCTTGTTTCCACATAATGTCTTCCTTTAATTTCTAAAACCAAGTGGTAAAATGAAAGAAGAAAAAGTACTTTATTAACATGAGTTCTTGAATTCTCTATTTCAGTCCTCCTTCCTTGGCTTTAGCTCACTTCCTCTCTGGGAGGCCTCAGCCCTGACGTGATGTGACATAATGTGACATGACCTGACGTGTCTATATTCCCGTTTGCTGACCCTGTCTCTGACCTTTGCAGGTCTGGATTAGCAGTCTTTACCAGATGTGTTACTCGGTACAATAAGCATCCAGAAAATCTACTTCAGCTATAAAAACACAGGAAAACACCTTCCTGTGGGCAGAGAGAGTAGATGCAACATCTTTAGTCTAACGGTAATTTAACCCAGAGAAAGATACTAAGATTATTTGTTTCCTTTGCCCTTTGACTATTACTAAACTTAAAAGAGGCATAAATTCCCAAAAGACCTAGCTGAATGACAAGGTTTAATAATTTTTCTTTTCTGTGCTAAAACTTTAATGCCCACAGGCACATACATAGTTTATATACTGGATTATTATGCTCCCCTCATATAATTTATTGTTCCTTACACAGATGCTAAGATACCATTCCTTCTGCAAAGGGACAATAGAATTTTACCCCTTTCTCAATCCAAGTGGTAACTGTAGCTTTCATTTTATCTTTCTCAGTGATTTGGGTTATTTGTATGCCACATCCTTATAGAAGAGGAGAACTGCACATTGCTTTTCATGCCTAACAAGTAATTTAGTTAAAACTCATCTCATCTCCTCTTAAAATTGAACCATGTTTTAACAGGAAGATACGTTGGACCAAACCTATAACAAAGAAGAGTTAGAGACAATCGTGAAGCATGTAGTGCAAGAAAATGCACAACAGCAGCAGACTGATCTGGACACCTTATCCAACTCACAGAATCGCAACCCATGACTTCTCCTGATCTTGATGATTTTCCTCTAATTCTTAAAGGGACCATTTCTGCCTGAAAAGATGAGTGGGCCCAAAAGAATGGTGAAGCACTTGGATAAGATAGCATATTCTGATTAAGACAAAACTGCTTTTGGGGAAACATCAAATGTTACAGAAAATGGCCCATTCTAAAGACAGATTAAACATAAAAGGAGTCATACCAGCCTAGTCAAGGCCTAGCTTTAGAAAAATAGGTATGCACTTAAAATTGAATTCTGAGTAATTCCAGCGGACTGAAATCTCAGTGCATGACAGTGATACGAAAGTGTGGGCTGTTAACCCCAAACTCAGACAAACTGAAAGAAGAGAGATCAATGTGATAAAGGCATCATTCCTTCTAATCAAATTGATGGAAAGATGCAGGACTGGTGGAAGAGGCAGTGTGAGGTGAATTACAGCGAAGAGCTACAGGAAGCTGGAGCAATCACACAGACAGCTCTCCACAGGAGCACGGCATCTTTATTCAACAGCCTGGGGCAGCGGCCCTGCCTTGGCCTTCTCTACAAACACCAGGGGCACTCTGCTGTAGTGGGCGAGACTGAACCTTCACAGAGGGCTCTCAGCTGAAGTGCCACCCGCCACTTACCCAAATGAAAGCCCAGACATTCATTCCCCATCTAAGAGGAAGACAGAGCATGTTGATGATGTTGTCAATTCCCAAAATACTAAAAAATCCAAGGAAGGAGTTAGAAGACGCTTTAAAAATTTTTGTCACATACTTCTCTCTTTGCACAGCATACTCTTTTTAATTAAAAATAACATGAAACATTTGGAACATTTGTTACTCATCCTTGTCTTTCAGCATAAATAATTTAGCTAGTAATTAGTTTGTCTTTGGGAAAAAAGATAATCATTTCTAAATTATTATGATTAAGTAGAATAAAGTCAAGATGTTTTATAATTGGTAGAGGAGAACAATTATTTCTTATTAGAGTATTTTGTTTTAACACTTTACTTGTGTCGGATTACATAAAAACATCAAAAAATGAAAGTACCAAGAAGTATTTTCAAAAAGTTACCTGTGATCTTATCATCCAGAGAAAACTACCATTAAAATTTTATATAAATGTATACATGATATATATTTAATATGACTATATCAAAGTGTGTTTTATACACATATATGAACATATATAATATTTATTCTTTTATGATAGCAAATTATACAACCTTTTTTAAAATATTGCCTTTTCTTAGAAAGACATTGTAAGCATTTTTTCAAATTAATTGATAAAGAGGTACATTAATGTTTTAACATCTGTGTAGAATTATGTTTTTCACTTACTGAACTTAGCATATATTAATGAATGTTCAAGTTGTTTTCAATATTTCACTAGTATGAATGAGATAGATCCATCTTTGAATTACAATCGGAAGTCAAGCACAAACATGAGACACTTTATTTAGTTTGTTTCATACTGTGGCTCACAAATATGAGATAAATGTTCCAGTGGGTAAGGACACTTTATAAACATTTGAAGCAGCAATTCCACTCGGTATTATATATACATTTTTCTGTTTGCTCAGAATATTTTATATTTCCCCTCATGTATTCCTTTGCAGTAGTTACGAGATAAATACTGGTGACTGCATTTCATTTATTAACTTCCAAGTTGAAGCCTGCACTGTCACCGGGGCAGTAGAGGAGACAGTCACACTCAGCCTAAGTGGACGGGTTCTGTGACTGCATCCTGGGTTTTCCCCTGGGTTCATGGCTTGGGAGGACACTGAGGAATTCCAGAGAGTGTGCCATCTTGTTCCTGCCATTCCAACTGTTGGAACTTTTGCTGACTTCATCTAATACCTCCTTTAAATTGGGCTAACAATGCCAAAAATACTTTCTATGAGTCTCATGTCAGTGATAATCATTTCTCTCCTCTAAAATATGTTAGTAATTACAAACAGCATTCAGGGAGAGTTCATTTTATTCTTGGATTTCATGTGGTTATCTTTATCTGTCTTTGTCTTTGTTTGTCTGTCCTGCAATCTTTGATAATCAGAGACCCTAGAATCCAATTTGTTGGCATCTCATACTTCAAATAATGTGCATGTTGAAGGTAGTATAATAAATGATACTGTATCAACATAACCCTGAGTATTTTAGTTTTCAGACATTACTGGTACATTTTCTTTGTATATATAAAGCTACTTATTATATTCTTTAATTTAAAATAAAAGTTACTTCAGATTTTTGTCACTTCTATTAATGTATTTATGGATTTCGGTCCTTATTTTCTAGGACTGTCAGTTGAACCCAGGGTCCTCACACTGAGCTATATCCTAAGCCTTCTTCCCTTTTATTCTGAGATAAGGTCTCACTAAGCTGCTCAGTGGCCCAGGCTCAGCTTAAACTTGTAATCTTCCTGTCTCATCCTCCTAGAAGGCTGGGATTACAGGCTTATGCCATCTTGGCCCATTTTTGAGAAGAGATTTGAAAAACAAAATCCACTGTTTTTAAATGTTGAAAACTACTATACGAGAATGAAAGGAATCTATGGAGTCTAGTCGGTTTTCAGTGCTTGACAGTTAAGTCAGTCTCATGTGACTATTTATTTAACATAAATTTTGAAGCGCTTTGTAGTGAACATGCATACCTTTATACAATCTGTCCAGCTTTTGAATATAATTTTCCATACTTTGAGAAGAGATCAAATGATGGGAGCACAGTTTGGAAATCCTAAGAGGAAAAAGATCAGAGATTACCACAAAGATATTAATGGTTTTGTCTTATTTTAATCATTACTACTGAGACTATATTAAACTGCCAGAGACATAAAGCTTAACTGCACTTCAAATTTCCCATTAAAAACTCAAAACAGAATTCGCAGACCAACTTTGGGACTCGTGTGGATTGAAAGCCAGGTGCACTGGGGCTTCCTGAAGCTCTGGTCACCCTCTTCTTGGGTGGCACAAACAGTAGCATCTTATACAACAAAGTGAATTTTCCTCTCAAACTTAGCATCCCTGCTCTTGCTTTTTGGTTGTTGTTAATGTCCCACACTGTAAGCATGAAGGTAATCAGCAACCAGCACAGTGTGTGCAGCAGCTGCACGAGTGTCTGAGGGGTGCTTTGCAATGGGACATAATCCATAGCACCCTCACATGCTAGTGCGTAAAGTTTAGGTCTTCTTGTGAAGCAGGACAGTTAGTTCTTTAGGTTGACAACTTGGTGAAGAAGTGAGAATAGCTTCATTTTTATAAATATCTACTAATACATTATTTAACTTCCAAAATAGAGTCCTACCCTGTCAGAGATGCTAAAAAAAAGTATTAAAAGGGAAGGAAAATGGTATGGGTTAGAAATTCAGCTGTACCCAATGAAGAGGACTACAAAAGGAATAAATGTAAAATAAAACTTTCTTTTCTTATTCTTAACTGACCTAACAGACAGCAGTTTTTGTTTAAAATAATAACAGTGTGAGTGGTGGTCATAGCTTGGGGAGGGGACAGGTGAGGACAGAATGCCACCCATGGAGGAGACTGGAGGGAGACTCTGGGACTGGCCTGTCCACAGTGTTGAAAGTAGACTTGGACTCATTGTAAGTATAGATTCCACACCCTAGAGTAACTACTAAAAAAATTTTTAAAAGAAGGATAATTGGTAAATAGAGTGGGGAGAAAACGGAATCATTTAAAATGCCTGATGAAGACCAGAAAGCCTAAATCTACGGAACAGAAAAGCAAAACAATGGAAAAGGACAATGAGGGTGAAATAGCTATAAATATAGAAGATGTGAATCCAACTTTAAATGTGAACAGTTTACGCCCAAAAGTGATGAAAAGGAAGCGCCAACAGCACATCTATATAAAGACCAATTTAAATCTAAAAATCAGAGTGAAACTAAAGATATACCACACTCTCCCTCACCAAAAGAAACCCAGAGTTGCTATATGAAGTTCAGACAAAATAAACTTCAGAATAAGGAAAATTATCAGAGACACAGAAGGCCATTACATAGTGATAAAGTGGTCAAGTCTCCGTGAGACACATCAGTGCTTAGTGTGTGTGTGTAACTAGTGAGTATCAGAATCCATGAGGCGAAAACTAATAGAACTGCAAGAAGAAACATGAGTTTACTACTGTACTGGAGGCTTCAACACCACTTTACCAGTGACTGACAGATCCAGCACGTAGAAAATCGGTGAGGGTATAACAGAATGGAACAGCACTGTCAAGCAGATCTATAGATCATGTTGTCCAACAGCAGCAGAGAGAATATTGTTCTCAAATTCACGGAACATTCACCAAGACACACCACACCTGTGCCATCGAACATACCTTCACAAACTGAAAATAGAAAGCATGCAAAGTGTGCTCTCAAACCACGACAGAATGAAATGAGAAATTAGTAATAGAAGAATAGATGGAACCTCTCCACGTATTTAAAGATTAAATAACATAATTAAATGACACATAGGTTAAGGAAGTCTTGAGAGAAAGAAATAAAAAATAATTTAAATGAAAATGGCAATTAAATATTATCAATATTGTTTACTGAAGTCAGCAAACGCAGTGCCAGTGGACAAATCTGTAGCACTGAATGAACATAGCAGAAAAGAAGAAAGATCTAAAATCAATAGTCCCTACTTTATTTTTTAAAATTTAATTTAAGTTTTTTGGTGTCAGGAATCAAACTCAGGACCTTGTGCTTGCCAGGCAGGCACTTGTGCCACTGAGCTATATCCACAGCCCAATAATCTCTACTTTAGGAAACTAGAAAAAGGAAAGCAAATTCTGTCTAAATAAAAAGGAGAAAAGAAATAATAAAATCAGAGGAAAAATCAATGAAATGGAAAACAGAAAACCAAAAAGAAAAAAAATCAGTAAGATCAAAAAATGCTTCCTTGTGAACACTCGGAGGGAACACACAAATTACTAATACCGGAAATGGAACAGCTCATTGCTTGGGCCTCCATGAACAGTAGAAGATGGTAAAGTAATATTATGAGGAACTCTACAAAGACGAATTGGATTTTGTTGAAATGGAACAATTTCTTTAAAGACAATCTATTAAAAGTCACACAAGCAGAAACACACAATCTGAACAAAGCTGTACCATACCCAGTTTTAAAAAGCTGAACCAGTAATTAATATTCCCCAACAGGCTAAGATGATCTCTTGCAGTAGTGGTAATAGAAGTGAATTCTACTAACCAAGGGAGAAATGACATCAATTCTCTACAATTTGCTTCATAACACAGAAGCACAGGAAATGTTCCTCGACTCATCTGTCTTCTCTCTCTTCTATCTCATCATTCTCCCTCAAATGTTCTCTCTTCTATCTCAAACGTTCTCCCTTCTATCTCATCATCTGCGAAACGGGGATGCCTATCGCTTGACATTGTCGTGAAGATTAAAATCCATAAAACACCTAGATCTCAGCCTTCCAGTTTTCTCCCCCCTTTCAACAGTAGAAGTCTATTCATATTCAACTTACTATGTTCGCTCAAAAATCAAATGAAGTAAATTCCATTTGCACTTAGACAAATTTGGAGCAATAATGTGGTGAAACATAACTTCCTCATGAGGAAAACCATTTTGAGTATGAATCAGGCATACTGTAGATGATTACTCACTTGTGTTAATTATATTTGTACCATACTGTAGTATTATAATGTGATACACACATAAGTGAGATAAAAATGAGACCTCTAATACTTTTTATTTCATCCTGTGGATCTTCTTGTGTTCTCACTTTTGGACTCCTCTGGTATTAGTAAACATCTCTGAACTCTGTGATGCCTGCATCTGTGTGTTCTACAGGTTCTGCTAACATTTGGGCATCGACAATGTGTCAGGCTCTATGCCAGCATCCTGCCAAGGGTGACAAGAACTTCGTCCTGTCTACCATCAGACCATAATCACTGACAATTGCGCTGATAACAAAGACTGACTCATCAAATTCCTACTCTAAAAGAAAATCTTTCAGAAAGTCGTTTCTACCCACAGCCTGTATCTAGAACTGCATTCTTCCTTAGCCCCGGCCAGCCAGTAACTGTGAGGTCTGGTGCAGGCTGGAGTGGATGTACCACTGAGCTTTGGTTTGCAGAAAAGTCTGGACCTGATTATTTCTTTAAAATTTGCTTCTGACTCAAAAACCTCATCTTGCCATGACTGATTCTTTCTGAGTTCAAGAAAACTACTAGCTCATCTCTCACCCAGTGTCACTGTTTTAGTGGGGGATGGGAGATGGTTCTTCTGAAAAATAACCTCATCAAGAGAAAACACTGGGGATGGTGATTCTACATCCTGCCATACCCCTCGCTTGCCAGAGCAGACAGCTTTGCTATTAGGATGCCTGGCCAAACACAAATAATCTACTGCCAAAATGAGCTCCTTGGGACAATTTAGGAGTCTTTGGAAGTGAACGGCTCTTTGAGCTGGAATGTAGCCCAGGTCCATTTTCAAACCCAAGTCAAAATGACAAAGAGCAAATTTCCTGGGCACTCACCCCTAAGTGTAAGATTACTTTAGGTTGGCAGCAGCACTGTTTATCTAGTTATTTAAGGCTTTTCACCTGATATCACAACAGAGTCCTTACACAACAGGTTTCAAAGCTACTGAGCTCCTAAGACAGCACTGACAGGGTAGAGGGCAGGATGAAAACCGAGGTTATGCTCACGTTGCTCAGCTTAAAACATTTTTATATATTCATCTTTAAAATATGCAAAGATTTTTCTCTTAGAGTTAAAAACAGGGTTAAAAACAGCAAGAGCTCTGGATGAATGTTAAGTACTGTTTTAATCAAAATCACTTCCTAAGTGAGACCTCAAATGGGAGTTCAAATGGGAGTCCACAGGCAGGCTTAAAAGATCTCCCAACGTTTCTCGTACAAGATCCGAGTTTGCTCTTGAAATTGAGAGAAAACCCAAATAAGTCCTCTAGCTTCACTTGCTCTTGGTTACTTGCTTTTTGTTGACTTTGAAAATATCACTAATTTTGGAGATCACACAGTTGAGCAATCTGTTATTCCTGTCCCACTGGCTTTGCTGTAGAGAAAACCTCCGATGTGTGCTTGCCTGGGCTACTTTCCAAGGACTGGACCACTTTTGTTGGACCCGCCAACTGTTCACTTGGGCCAGCACAGGACACTGATGGGTGACCTCGGGATGTTAAGGGGCCCAGACTCTACCCTCAGATCACGCTAACTCCATTTTCTGAAGATACATCCTGTGATGATTTAGGAAGACTAACCACACATGTGTAGATTACAGGTTATTCCACCTCCAATCACGCTAAAGACCATCCAGCTTCTTTATCCACAAATCCTATCCTAAGAAAAGTCGATTTAGAATTAGGCTTTTGGCCTTACACACAGCCGAGCATGAAGAAACTTACTCTCCTGAAAAACTCGCTTCTGTACATGGCCTATTGAGCAGGGGCACTACAGGCCTGGTTCTGAGAGACTCTGATTACATGCAGAAAACAGAAATGGCAAGTGTCTCTAAGGTTTTGACAGAAGAATGTACAGAGAGTTATTTGAGTTGTGGAAGTTATGGAACTTCTCAGTGGGATATTATTTTGCAAGAAAAACTATACCTAGATTCATAAGCAAATAGTCTATATTGTGATAATGATGATCTTTTCATAAGAACAGTTATCATCAGTCCTCATTATTTACAGAGTCCTTATTTGCAAATCTGCCTACTTGCTAAATTTGTAAATTAATTTGTAAAT